GGGGGGAGGCTCGGGCATGAGGCGGGGCTGTGGGGACGGAGGGGCTGCAGAGGGTGCCGGCCCCTGAGAAGGGGCAGAGCCCTGAAGGAGGGCAGGACCTGGGTCAGCGAACAGGTGGGAACACAGCCAGGCCGAGGTGCTGTGAGGGGCTGCAGGTGTGTATTCGGGGCTCAGCTGCCTGTCTCTTCTCTGTCCCTCTGTGTCTCTCTTCCTGTCTCTGTGTCCCTGTCTCTCCATGTCTCTGTCTACATCTCTCTGTCTCTGTCTCTGTCTCTCTCTCTCTCAGTCTCCTTTCTCTCTCCCGTGTCTGTCACCCCTGACGCCCTCACTGTAGAGCCTGGGTCCTGACATGTGTCCTGGAACTAAGAACAGGACCCGCGTGGGTCCTGGGGGAGGGGCCGGCTGGAGGGGAGGGACTGCTTGGAGACCCTCAGCTGCTCCACCGAAGCTTCTGGCAGCTACTCTCTCTCCGCCCCGAGAACATCCTCGGGGACACTCGGCCTTGCTCCTTGCAAGTGGCCACTTGTACCCGCCCCTCCCCTGTGTCGGCGGCTCCCGGAGAGGCCCCAGGGCCCTGCCACCGCCACCAAAGCCCCTGCCTTGGTTCAAGGCTTCAGAGCAGCCTCCGGCATGCACCGCCAGCAGCGTGAACCCAGGATTCAGCCTCTACCCAGGCCGGGAGAGGGCAGGGAGGCTGGGGGCTCCCTCCAACTCCTCACACCCCCACACGCCGTCTTCGCTCCTCAGGCCACCTGAAGCCTCTGCCTTTGGGCACTTACTTCCCTGGACACCTCCAGAGGCCCTCTGGGGAAGTGGACTTCCATAGGAGGCCGGGCTAGGCCCACTGGTGGGAGCCCCTTGAGGGTCCACCGTGGAGAAGCTCCCGCCTCTGTGGGAGGAGGAGGCCCCACCGGTGGGTTCCCCACGCAGGCCCCTCTGTCTGCAGAGCCTTGTCTGGCACACGGTGGAGGGTGCAGCATCGCCCTCACCACATCCACGGAGGGACGTGGATGTCTTTTGAGTACCTTAGTGCACCCTCCAGGAGCCCAGGGCCTGCCCGAAGTCATGGGGAGGCATTAGGCACGCCTGACCTGACGTGCAGAGGGCTGAGCCCTGGCTGAGGTCCCGCCGCGGGGAAGGGTGGTCCGGGCTTGCACCAGGTGGGCACCTTCAGGGCCACAGATGCCGCTCCCTGCACCCCCAGCAGGCGCACAAAAGACGCCTGAGGACCACATCTGTCTCTGTCTCACAGGTCCCTCACCAGTGCCCTCTGAGCCGGCTAGGATGTTCGGGCTGTTCAGCGTCTGGAGAACCGTGGACAGCGTGCTCTTCTACCTGACGCTGATTGTGGCTCTCGAGGGGGTGGTCGGTAATGGGCTGGTGCTCTGGAACCTCGGCCTCCACATCAAGAAGGGGCCCTTCTCTGTCTACCTGCTGCACATGGCCGCCTCGGATTTCCTGTTCCTCTCCTGCCATGTGGGCTTCTCCGTGGCCCAGGCTGCCCTGGGCATCCAGGACACGCTCTACTTCGTGCTCACCTTCCTGTGGTTCGTGGTGGGGCTCTGGTTGCTGGCGGCCTTCAGCGTGGAGCGCTGCCTCTCTGACCTCTTCCCTGCCTGCTACCAGGGCCGCTGGCCCAGACATGCCTCAGCTGTCCTCTGTGCCCTGGCATGGGCCCTAAGCCTGCCAGCCGTGCTGCTGCCTGCCAACACCTGTGGCCTGCTACGCACCAGCGTGCGCCCCCTGGTCTGCCTGCACTACCACGTGGCCAGCGTGGCCTGGCTCCTGCTGCTGGCTTTCGTGGCCTGTGTGGCCGGCGTGGTCCTCTTTGTCTGGGTGGCCTGCTGCTCCACGCGCCCTCGGCCCAGGTTCTACGGCATCGTCCTGGGCATGCTGCTCCTGCTCTTCTTCTGTGGACTGCCCTTGGTCCTCTACTGGAGCCTGCGGCCCCTGCTGAACTTCCTGCTGCCCATCTTCTCCCCGCTGGCCATGCTGCTGGCCTGCGTCAACAGCAGCTCCAAGCCCCTCATCTACTTGACATCAGGCCGGAAGCCCGGGAAGCGGGACCCGCTGCGGGTGGTGTTGCGGAGGGCCCTGGAGGAGGGCACTGGGCAGGGCACTGGGATAGTGCTGCCTATGGGCCGCTTATAGGTGGGCTTGCCCTGCCCACAAGGCCTGCCAGGAGACGCCCACCCTTGCCCAGACGCTTCCAGGGCCGGGAGGAGCCCCGCCCACAACCTAGCTCTTACCCTGAGCACCTAAGGGCTGGACACAGCTGGGGAGACTTGGTCCTGACCACCCCCCAGCCAGGCGTGCTGAGGGTAAGGGACGCAGGGAACCGGAGCTGGAGGGAGGTTGGGCCAGGTGGGAGAAAGGAGAAGCCTCCTGAACAGGGGCAAGGACAGGCACCACGCCCCCCAGGCCCCGCCCAGGCCCCCTCACCCAGCCCCTCCCACCCTGCTGCACCTGAGTCACACAGAGAAAACTGAAGTAAAGCAGAGCCAGCCCCCAGCCCATGATGGGGGGCTGCTGGATGGGAACCCAGGCCTCCAGGCTCCTGCCGCCCTCCATGCCGCCTGCTGGCTGAGGCTCTGATTCTCCCACTGCACAGTGTGTGGGGGGGAACTGCTCCTTGCTCTCCACCCCCCTCAGCCATCATTGTCCTGCCCACCCCACGTGGGCTACACCCAAGGCTCTGTCTCCCTCTCCGAGGCCCAGGACTTGCAGGTGCCCGATGTCACCAGCAGAGGCCGCCAGGTGGTGCTGCTTCTGCGCAGAACAGACCCAGCCCCGTGGGCCGGCGGGCCAGGTGCCTCCATCGTCCCCTCCCGTCCCCTCCTCTCCCCTCCCACACCTGCCCCACTGGACCTCTCCTGCGCCCCCAGGGCCATCCGCTCTCCACCCGGGACTAGCA